TTCTGGAATTTCTCCTGATGACAAGAAAAGTGATAGCTTGTTTAGAAACAAAACTCATCAAGTTGCTTACAACTCTCTTCTAGCAAGAGGAATAATGAATAACAGAGTTGTAGACTTAAGCTTCCTTGAAAATTTCAATATCAAAATTCAGAGTATGATTGAAAATCTTGATTTTCAAAGAATGTGCTCTCTCCCTCACAAAGTCTACCTAGAACTCACGGCTTACTTTTATTCAAATCTGTCATTCATTTCTCCTTCTGAAATTGAGTTCTCTATTTTTCAACAAGATTACAAGTTATCAACCTTTGATCTCGCTGCCATTCTAGGAGTAAAATATACAGAATATTCTCTTATTCCTATCACTTCGGATTTAGCATATCGATCTCTGTCTGGTGACTCTTCTTTCATCAGAGACTCCACCTCTCATGTATCTCACTCTTTTTTTCCTCTAAATTCCATTGTCCTGCACAAAATCATCATCAATTGTCTCAAACCCAAAGGATCTTCCAAAACCGATGTCTCTCGATATGAGGCCAAGTTGATTTGGGCGATTCAAACCACCTTTCCCATTTCTCTATCACATATGATTCTCCTTCAAATGTATAGAACTGTCAAAAAGAGTAAAGGTCAACTCCCTTATGGAGCTTTGATCAACGCTATCTTTGAGTATCTGAAAATCTCCATTCCTGAAAAACTCAAAGGTAAACCTCTTCAAACTATGACTATTGGAGAACTCATGATGACTAAGATGGAATACAGATTTGATGGTGAAAATTGGAAGGATAGGAAGGGTAAGATTATTCCTGCAGAAGTGATGAGTGCACAAAACAAGGGCTCTGTTAACATTTTTCATGATTCTGATGAGGAGGAATCAATTGAACCCTTAGTAAGAAAGAGGAAAGTGCAGCCGACAGCCTCCAGAACTGATAGACCAGCCAAAAAAACTCAAGCCGTGGCCAGTGATTCTAATAAGATGCAGATATCTGATGACCAATCCGCTGAACAATCTCAAGCTGATGAAAGAAGCCTTGAGGAGTCAAGGTTTATGCAATGGCTAATTATTCAAGATGCCAAGTACAAATCTCGTGCAGACAGACATGCTGCCACTCAGCTTGAAATTCAGAGACTGCGAGAAGAGGAGGACCACTTGATGAATTCACTTAGTGACATCATCAACAAAGTAGTCATGGAAAATTAGCAAGAGATAATGGCCACTGCCAAGAAAGAAGCTAAGGAAGAACCCTCTAGGAGACAGGGGGAGTTTGAACATGATCATGAAGCAGAAATGCATGAAGAGTTTGAGCAAGAAAATGCTCACAATGATGAGGAAAATAACATGCAGGAGGAGTTTGAAGAAGAAAATGCTCAAGATGTTGAGGACAATGATTTTAATCTACCTGACATACAGGATGATCACAATTAGAATGCACAAGAAGTAGCTCTTTCAGCAGCAACTTCTGCAGACTTTCCCCTTGAAGGAGATGATTGTGAGAACAGTCCTTCTAAAGATCAACCAAGAGGCAAAGGGAAAGAAGCAGCATCTGTTGACATTCAGACCACTCATACTCCTTCTGGATACAATATCTCCTCATCCATGTCAGACCATGCAGCCATTACAGATCTAAGATGGAGACAAGCTGCAGTTCAAAATGAAGTCCGAGAACTACGCAATGAACTTAAAGAAGGAATTCAGAAGATCAAGGACTTGATGGCAGCAAGATTCAACAATTTGAAGGCTCAAGTTAGAACTAATGTACAAATTGCAGCAATTAACACTGCAGGCCAAATTCATCAGCTCTCATCACATATTGAGCAACGATTGAACCAATTTTCTAGTCTCCATCTTGTCCAAGTGCCTTTCCTATCTGCATCTTTTGGAACCTCTTCATCTAAACCTGCAGGACCCTCAACCCCTCCAGAAAATCAGCAAAAGTGATCACATCTCTTCGCATCTTATCATTTCTGAACTATCTATTTCAAATTTCCATATTGATTTTTGTTCTGTGTTTGACTTGGTGTTACCTTTGAATATTGACTTATGATTCGACAATGGTAGTTTGACTTTTATACTGAACTCTTATTGCATTTTTATTGATTATGTTATTTATCCTTTCTGCTGATGCCAAAAAGGGGGAGAAGTATTATAAAGGATGGATGTGAATGCAAGTGATATGAATATGAAGTATGGGAGCGGCAAAATATGAACTGATATATTTCAAAGCTTAACAATGTTTTGTATGCTTCAAAAGTTATATCATCCGAATAGACTATATTTTGTTTACATCACATATGGATAGTTTTGTCATCATAAAAAATGGGGAGATTGTTGAGCAAAATCCCTAATGAGTTTTGAGGAATGACAAAACAATCTATTACTGACCAAAATTACACCTAAGTTATTTGATGTAGGTAAATGCTGAGTCATCAGATTTAGTCGATGAAAGGACTTTGTCATCAGACTCAAAATTACTCGCCAGATTCAATGAGTGTTATTTTTGGCTTGTTTATGTAGGATAATCAAATTGATATTTTAAGATATCCTAATTGGTAATCACAAGATCGTTCCTCAAACACGAAGAACTATACTTATGGAAACCTTGATTTGATTGTATGGGTGATCAAATCACTTGGAGATAATGGTTCTTTTTCTAATGGCTATGTATCATATTTTGGGAAGAATCTCCAACGGGTTGATTTGGAGATCAATCCTCTGAAGACTGTCCAACGGATAGATTGGAAGTAGAGGAGTATAAAAGGAGTGCAAACGTCGTACAAGATAGAAGAACTAGATTCAAGAATTTCAAAGTCTGAATAGAGCTTCGATCTTACACACTTGTGATTACTGTTTTCCACGTTGTGTTTTTAGAAAGAAAATTACTTGAGTGAAGAGTATACGTGATAGTGTAGTCTATCATCTGAGAAGCACTGCTCTTGTAATCTTCTGATGATTCAATAGTGAAATACAGCCAATAGGCTGCCAGCGTGAAGAGTAGACGTAGGCTCGATAAAGCCGAACCACTATAAAGATCTGTGTGTAGTATTCTCTATCCCTAAACTTTTATTTATTATTGCTGACATCATACTGCATACATATCTGTCAAACAAGTTCGTCAGAACATCGTTTTAGTCATCAGACGCAATCATCTGATGACAATTTATATACAAGTTTGTCATACGCATCCATCTGATATTAATCATACAAGTTGTTGACCTCGACTATATTCATTCCACACGTTTAAATTATTTAATTTGTAAAATCACTTATTCACCCCCCTTTAGGTGATAACACTAGCCCTAACACCTTGCTATCATGTTATGGTGGCTTTTATATGTATGAGGGAACAACTTGAATAATGTGTTCACAAGTGTTTCAATAAGAAACATTCATGCAAACTTATAGCCATATTAGTGCATGTTGTAGATTTCAAGTACACATGGATTGCTAGAGAGCCATTTCACCCGCCAAATGTACCCAATCAAGTTGATGGAAGAAGAAACAAAGAACAAAGTATGTGAATGAAATAACTTATAACTATTTGAAGACAAGGAAGAAAAAATTTGTGCAAATAGCCTACTGGAGCAAAGGTGAAGAGACTAAATACTACAATAACTATGAGATATGTGGTGGGTTAGGCCATAGCAAAAATCATTGAAGAATTCATCAATAGCATCAACACCAATAGCAGCAGCAACAATAGCATCATCAACCCCAGCAGCTTCTACATCCATCTCGTGTTCACATGATGTGGTAGAAAGCACTCCTCTAGCTGAGGATGGAGCTCACGACAATGGACTTGAGAGAACCCAAGCCTCTCTAAACTCCTTAGACGAAATCGACGCTTCTGCTCCTTTAATTAAGGATGGAGATTGTGACGACGAACTTGAAAGGAGCAAGGAGCAATTTGCCATTGGGCGACAAACTTGAGGCATCAGCAAAAGGCGAAAACATAAATTAGTGATCTGACAAACTGAGAATTCAAAGTCGCTTTCGGTTGATGGACCCAATTTTGTCTCGAACGGATTTGGTGTCGACGAATTGAGAGTTCAAGCATCGGGGAATGTAGGAATCCACGAAAAACTCAAAATTCACTTTGGGGTTTTTGTTGGGTTAATATTATCAAAAATCCTAAATTGGTGCACTCGGGTCACATTAATCAAAAACTAATTTTTATATCACAAAAGTTCTCAAACTAATATAGTCATGCTATATTTATCCTAAACTAATTTCAATGTAAAAAAAATCGCAAATTAATACATTTGTGCCACATGTACTCCAATTTGGTGCATCCGTACCATATTTACCCCAAATTGTGGTAAATCTAAGATTTTTGAAGTAAATGTAGCATGAGTGTAGTAATTTAAGATTATTGATGATATTAGCTTTTTTTTTTTGTTTTTTTAGGATTTTATACTTCTTTTACCTAGTTGCAAATTAGTTACAAAACTACCCTTGCTCTTACCATTGGAAAAAGCTGATTGGCGATGATTTGACCTAACGAGTTTAAACCCTTAATTGAGACTAACTTAGCTACTTCAAGCCTTCGTTTGAAATGAAACCCACTTTGAGATCTTTCATTGAAAAAGGGCTGCACTTTAAGTCTTTATTTGAAATATTCTCTTTAAGATATCAAGATTACAATACAGAGGTGTTTTGGTTGTTCTCCTAATCAATATTTTGGGGCTCGGTACTCTGAAGGTATCTCAATGACATACCTATAACGTACAACAAGCCTCGATACGTTTCCCGCAATTTATAGTAACCTTTTCTTTTTTTGGCTAGAATCGACCCATTGACAAAGAAGTACAAGGAAAGGCAACAATTCTCTATCTAAGCGACATCTGCTGTAATTGTCTAAACAGAAAGTTTGTTAAAAAGGAGGCGTGAAATCTCTTTGCATTAGAGTTGTCACAAACATTAGTCTCCTGGGGAAGGGGAAAGCATCCTGGTAATATAAGAGAAGAGACCTCCTCCTTGCATCAGATTGCCTCCAGTCGGTCCAGGATAACACTTCTTAGGGCCGGGCAGGCATGGAAGCAGGGGGTTGAACAGCCGCTAAAGGGTTCACCTGGTAAGAAAATGCAAGCTGCCAAAAATCTACCAAAGCATTCTTCAGCGCCAAAGCCTGTCTCTTGATGTACCTGAAATGCGAGAGAATCTGACGAAGCATCAGAATAACGATTAGTTTGTCTCAAAAAACACTTCCCTAACAAGCAGTTCAATAAAAACACTGGAGGCCACTTTCTAGAAATGAATCCCTCTCTCTCTCTCTCTCTCTCTCTCTCTCTCTCTCTCTACAACATCCAAGTTTACACCAAAATTAGAAAATGAGTTCCCAAAAACAACCCATGTAACACGGTTCAGAATATGTGGCTTATCCAGGCTAAAATTCTTTACAAACTTAAAGTGGTTTAGAGCATTCAACTGATTCCACCAAAAGAACGCAAATAACATCTGTGGCTCACATAAACCCAGTTACAACAGTTTTAGTCAGCAACCAGCTGTTGGTAAACAAGGTGGAAAAAAATTAAAGATCATTTGCAACTGCAGTATTAAGACCAATCAATTAACTATTGCATCATCAATCACTAACAGCTGTTTTTGAAAAAAAAAAAAATTCCTTGTACTTCTGATTCTTACAATTGGCAGGGTGAAGTTCGTTTTCAGAGACCACAGTCAGACAGCATGTCTGAGTTGGGAATGAAAGCTGACAGGTCCAGCAGACAAAGGGCATTCAACGCCACAAGCCTCCCCACACAGTGTGGGTATGTGGTGGGGTTGATACATGCAGCCTTACCACTGATTTTCCAAAGAAGCTGTTTTGGTGACTTAAATTGTACCCCTTGCACTATATCTCTTGCAATTTGGGAGGAAAAAAGCTGATTCTTGAGAAACCAAATGCCAGTTTGTTTCATAGTTTCTGGATCTTATAAGTTTATAGAGCAGCATACACTCCATCGTACACATACAGAACCCAAAAGCCAACCTGACCGTGGTTTACTTTTAACTAGCACGTCGGAAGTGAATTGATTTACAAGCATGTTTGCATAACCTCTGTAGGACACCCGTAAAACTTGAGAATAAATTCAAAAATATTAAAGGTGGTCCCACTGCTGATGATACCTAAATTCCAGAACATGACACAGAGAATTATTTTAGGAGATATATCCATGCCTAAGGTCCAACTCATAGGAGACCACCAATTCCGCAACCGCATGCAAAGATCCATAATAGCCAATATTGATGCAGGACAGAGATAGGGGTGAGCGGTTATGGATTTCGTATGTGTTCCACCTGGAACCGGGGACCTACCCATGGGAATAGGTTCCTCATTTTTTGGAACCTAAAACCTACCCTACATACTTTGAAACTTGGAACCTATCCTGTTATAGGTTCCAGGGTCAGTTCCAAGGTTCACCCAAATTCCAACTGTATTATTAATTGAACAATTGCAGTGAATCATCACCTTTAATGACCATTACTCGCTGCTACGATACACTGACCACAACTTATATTTAAACACACGAAAAATATGAAACATTAATAAGTCATAAAATGAAAGCTCAAATTAGTGATTCCAGATTATACACTCATCATCTAATGCCATTGAACATCGCGGGATCACACAAAGACATAGACCAAGAAAAAACACAAAAAATTTGTTTAAAGTTTAAGGTTCCAGGTTCCAGTTTTCACCTACCTATAACCTAGAACCCACCCATCAAAACAGGTTCCCCAGTTTTTGGAACCTGGAATCTACCCTACATACTTTGGAACCTGGAACCTACAGGCTCCCACCGGTCAGGTCACCCCTAGACAGAGGTATTTATGGCGCCATTAACTTCACAAGGAACTGGTATTTCCTAGTTATGCATAAATACGTTCTGTGATGGCTCAGCAAATCACCAAGTTTAAATAGGCAGTGGTACCACGAAAATGCATTAGAGCCAAGACAAGTTACCTATTCAAGGCAGATCGCTCTCTTCGCACAATGAAATATGCGAGCAGCATCAGGCATCCCAGCAAGATCTTCCCATTAGATAGGACTAACCGAAAATTGCCAAATCTCACGTTGATTGACTGAAACAACCAGAAACATGGCTTGCCTTGTCCATACAACTTCAGAATTGCTAGTTTCCGATCATGTTCTCTGTTTGGCATGCTTTTCTGTCCTACGGATCTAATAAATTCTTCCGATGCATTCGCTTCTCCTATTAAAGGAACTTCATGCTCATTTAGCATATGTGACAGGGGATCTTGTGATAAGCTAGTGGCCTTGATAGCATATAGCGAATGCAACCTTCTGAGCAAGTCCTACCAATTGCAAGTTGAAATGACAAACTGTTAACATTCTCTGCATCAAGGACAGTACCATGTGTTATTAAACCAAAATTCATTTCAATCAAGTTCGTGCAAAAGTGAAGCATCATTCTTTGATTGAAAGCCATCACAGAAATGATTTTAGTAGCCAAACAATGCAATACTTTACACATTAAACTGAGAAACAAGGCAAGTCGGCTGATGCTCTATAGTCTTATGGCAAAGATGCTAAACAGTTTGTAAGCATCTGTGATATTAGAATCACCCTACAATCAATTATTCAGATACTATACATCAAATGGGAACGAGATGATTAATGAAATCTATATCACTGCTAAAATGAAAATTAACAGTAAAACGAGGAGCCTACTTTCTGGATAGCCTAACCAGAGAATGCATCTTAAATACCCCAGGACACATGATAAATTCCTTGCAAGTGTATTAAGGATAAGATATCCATGCCCTAAGTTCAACCCCGTAGAGACCGGCTACCACCTTTAACATCAGAAACCGGCCTACAACCTAGAACCTGGAACATCTTAAGTAAAAAGAGTTCGGAGTATATCCAACAGAGTTTCTTTTTCTTCTTTTTATTTGATTCAATAACTGGCAAGCAGTATCCCAAATATACCTAAACATTTGCTCCAACATCACAAGTATAAACACCAATTTATCAGTACAAAATTCTATATACCAATCAATGCACGATAAGAAACGCACTAGAAGGTCCACTGGGCTGTAAGTACCTAAATCAGGACAGGACCTAGGTTCACCCGAGTATGAACTGTGTCCAAGTAGTTAGGCAGACCTACAGGGTCAGGTCCAAAATCAAGTTGACCCCCATGCTTTTGCATCGTCAATATAGATAATTTTTGCAAACAACTTAAGAAGTAACAATGGGGCTAAATTTTTAAGATTGTGTGCTCTTGTCTGTGTGTGTGTTGTGTTGTGTGTGTGTGCGCGCGCGTGCATGCAAGAGAGAGACAGAGACAGAGAGACAGAGAGATAGAGGGTGGCATGGGATCTGTATCAGACAAGAAAAGCCCAGTTAAATGCCATTATTCCATAACACTTGATACATCTGAATGTCATAAGACAGATTGAGATTAAAGTCAGAAGGCCACCAATGTTAGTTAAGGCAAAACCGATACAGGAGAAACCAGACCCACTCATAGAATAATGTTCCCCTCATGCACTATACTCTAAGTCCCTTTTGCCACATTAGAGGAAAAAGTGGACCTTGTTCCACTTTAACATCCATATTAACGTCGAGCACATTATTGCCCCATCATCATAACAGCAAGAAATAATGAAAAATGGCCCAAACTCAACCTGCAATACGGTAGTCATGACCATGTAAGGAGCTGGGTGGGTGAGAATAGTAAGCCAGGAAAAAAAACCTCATATATTTCTATTTTTTTTTTTTTGGGTAAGGAACCTCATATATTTCTATTAACATGTACCTTTTCCATTAATTTGGATGATACCTAAAAATGTATCTCAAAACAATCTATAAAGCAGTCAATTCCACCTATTTCACTATTTCTTGGCAGTGATTTCAGCAATCACATAAGTTAAGAAAACATGGGAAGCAAATTGCATACTCCAGGCTCACTTATCATCAAATTGCAAGCATGTTGAACAATTATCAATGATCTCATAAATTCCATAAATGAATGGTTCTCAAAAAGTATGGTTGCAAAATCTCTCTTACCTGCCTCTTATCCTTAGGCAATGCAGCTTTCTCAACCCAACTTATGGCCGGTTCAAATTCACCCAATATTCTAGCCAGTAAAGTCAGCGCATAAATGTCAACAACTCCCAAATATTTATCAACTCCCAAAACAAAATGTCCATCACAAATTTCTGTGCAATTAACATTTGCCTCTGCATTGACAGGACTGTAATATTTCTCATCCACATAGTTCCAGTTGCTGAGGAACTCCTCTAGAACTTTTCGAACCCCTGGAGAACCTTCCGAAATCTGCAAACAGGCCCTGATAGGAAACTGCACCAGTAAGCGAAGTTCATGTTGTTTGTAAAAGAGGTCATCTAACCTGCATTCAACATGCTAACCAAAGATGCTCTTCTTAGAGACTAAAGGATGTATACTGATATCACACCAACAATTGGTAAAAAGTAGACAATACGGACCAAGCATAACATAGGTCTTACTCTGCAATAAAGTTAAGGCATGTATAGTGCATGAGATGACATTGACTACCAATAAAACTATATCATCAAGTTGCATTATGGGTGTGGTGGAAGTGGGTAGGGCTGTTACCACATCTTAAAAAGCATTGTTTGTAGCATACACCAAATCAATACATGATATGTACAACTTAAATCAACATATTCCAGTACTGCACTTGTCAAGTCTTCCTATTTTACTTCTATCCACCTCTATACAGATCATGTCAACAAAAGACACAAGGCTCTCTCTCTCTCTCTCTCTCTCATTTGAGTGAACAGCATTTTCGAAGTTGTCATTTCGAAGTTCATAATGACTAAGGATTGAACTGACTCTTGCCTTTTACTTTTTTTAAATCTCATGGCTCAAGCACTTTGACTTTTTTAAAACCCAAAATACCTGAAACTTTAACAACATACTGATGTTGACACATGACTTCACATAGAGCTTTTTCATATATTGGAAATTTGAACAAAATTCTAAATATTGGCAAAATGTAATAAAAAAAATACTTTTTGCTTCTACAAAACAAATACAAACACACGATAACTAACACTGTGATATAATTCATTGTTTTGGAAATTTAAGTATATTATTCAATGGGTTTTGGTCAATCTAGGTGAGCTACATTCCTAAACCCATGTCAAGTTGTCAGCAGTTAAGAGTATATACAAACTTCAAGGTACTTAATTAAAGCAATGTCAATATACTGTAATGCTTTTCTACAACTCTTCCGAATATATCAACTTATAGTCAATTTTGCACAAATGATAAGCAATTACAAAAAAAAAAAAAAAAAGTCCTCAGGTTTATCCTTATTAGCATTTTGCATCCTCTAGTTTCAAAGCCTACACTTCACACCTTCTAATTCCTATACATTTGCCAACAATTTCCTATAACATTAGAGACCAAGGCGTAGTGACTGCAGGCTTTCTTAGAACCTCACAGTGCAAAGTGGATAATTTTGAAACTAAAGGGTGCAAAGTCCGTGTAAGGGAAAGTTTGGGGTGGGTTATGTGAAATCCTTTGTTTAGCCCGGAGAATATGCCCTTAAAGGTTGTGAGATGTTTTTGGAAGATATAACAACCAAACAAACTTAAAGGCCTGAATCACATGTATCTCTTGGTTTAAGCCTTAAGGCACAAATGCGATAAACCCATCAACGTCATACACAATCTACCTAAATCCTCTTGAGATCTTTGTGTTTCATTTATAATAATTGGTAAATGGAGCAGGCCAAATATGGATCTAACACAGTCATGTAAAACATTGAAGCAAAACCACTGCAAGGCAAATAGCCCAGTTGCTTGTCTGGGGTCATCACCAAAGACAGAGAAATTAACATACAAAAAGAAAGGAAAAATAAACAAGAACAATGAAGAACGCAAAACTCCAGATATTTTCTTTTCAAAAATAAGGAACACAAATTCCAAAAGGCAAAACATAGCATATAATTGGATGCCTTAGAGAATCAGACATCTTAACACTATCTTGTTTAGCCCCATAACCAAAATAAGATGAGCATAAATCAGCCTCATATTGATGAAGGTTGAGAAATGTACCTTCACCAATGGTAGAGAAATAAAGGTTGAGAAATGTTGCTCACTAGCTTCAATAAGGACTTCAATTGGATGCAAACACTAAATATATTTAACCAATGATCTATTCTTTCTTTTGCACTTTTGCTCTTCAAAAGGGTCAGGAAAGCATCAACATTTATATGGAAACCATTCCACGAAAAGGCATTATTCAACATGTAGAATTGAAAACGCGATAATGCAAGAAGACACCAAATTACCCAATTTGGAGAACTTCAACGGGGATGGCAGCAACAGAACTGAACAATTCCGTTAGCTTATGCAGAATTTCTGCAGTCCTGCAAGAAAATACTACCAGTTACCATACAGTTTTAACTTTCCCCCTAAAACTAAAGCGAGCATGAAAATTTGCATATATAAGTCATTTTATTTATTGTGCACTCAATAAATTCTCCACCATGAAGCTTCCTTAAAGATCTTTTTTGCTAGTTGAAGTGCTCTGTGGGTCCAGAGCACATTCGTCCACAATCAAACTCAGAACTTGTTCCTAACACCCTCACCTCCCCTCCCCCTTCCACCAGGCCATGTGCCTTGGTGGTTCCTTCAAGAAGTTATAACCTAAAATAGGGGGACTAAAAATCTCAACAGACGGTTCAGACCAGGTCCATCTTGTTAATATTGTAAGGATTGTGTTAACGAGTGGCAACTGATTAAGGAAACTTTACACTTTCCAATGCACTACATGCCCTCATGTTTTGCACGATCAGTGCTTTGTAATTGAAAATTTTCAAATTAAGTATAGTTAACAAGTGCCCTTGGGGCACTTGCTAACAAGACCCGCATTGTTATTAAGATCTACTGATGTATCGACATGCTTCACAGTTAGATACCCGAAACATCTTCTCATGAGCAGGTTGATGCACAGGCTTTTAAACTAAACACTGAAGAAAGACAATATGCTTCTAAAGATTATAAGAAAGTTTTGTCAATGGCGTGAGATACGAAATCCCCATGATATGAACTACACAGGGAAGGCTGCAAAATGCATGTATTAATCAAACTAAGAGAACATGTAAAGAGCACAGGTACCCACTCATCAGATGGAAACTCATAACAAATCAATGAAATCAAGCAAAAAAAAAAAAAACGGGACCTCCCCATTTCTTTCAAAGACTGCACTAACACCATCCCAGCCGATTCCATCATGTCATGCAGCTGCGAAAGACCGTCTCCTGATTCTCCAAGGAGATCACTCTTGTTCCGACAGAGACGCTCCAGAACAGAGGAGGCCAACGAAGCCGCCTCCTCGTACATAGAGCACACCAGGTAACTGCGAATTCCAGAAAAAGAGAGAAAGAAACATGAGCAAGACGAAATCACAAGAAACGACGACCAAGAGAAATCCATGGAACCCCTCTTACCTCTCGCAGATGTCGATGTCTCCCCAGATAGTAGGTTCCGACGAAGTCCCCACCCTTCCCGCTGCCTCCATAGTCTCCCACTGTGTACCTTCTCGAGGCAACCGCTGATGCCCGCTTTCCCACGAAGGAGCGGCCGAGAGCCGAAGTTGGTCGTCCCGGCAGTCGGAAGAGCGGGTTAAGGCGGCGGCGACGTACCGAGAAAGAGTCGAGGAATGGTGGGGGCCGAGGCAGCGAGCGAGAGAGATGTGGAGAGACGGAACCTGGCCGCGTCACCGGCGTCCGCCGACGAGCACGCGAGTTTCAGTCGGTGCCCGGTGGCGGGAGGCGGCGAGGTGTGGCCGATAAAGGGCGGGGCTCCGGCCGAGACGTAATCTTGGGGGACGAGACGGTGAGCCGCGCGAAGGATGAGAAGTAGAAGAGGGAGTCATTTTTCTATGCTCATTTCGAAGGGAATTCATAAATCGATCACTATGACTCATAATTTTTTAAAAAAATTTCACCACAAGTGTTGTAAAATGCCACATGAAATTTTCCAGTAAAGAAAATTGTCGATATCACTCAAAGTGATAGAACACCAAAATTGTGCTAGTAAAAAGGTTATGGCACGCTTTTATCGAAATTCACTAGATCGGATTGGTTAAAACCATTGATTTTGTGGCTTCCACACATGAGACCCCTAATAAGATAGGATATTAAATCCGGCTGCGTTTAGTCATCCGGATTTCTAGTCAAGATAGGATTGGATAAGATAGGATATAAGATCCAAAGGATTTGTTATATCCTATTTACTGTTTGGTGAATCACAGTAATAAAGCCGAATATTTTCATATATTACTATGTTTATTATTTGCTATGAACGTTATATCAATATAAATGAACCTAAAAATTGCACAAACGGAAATAATAAAAATTTGGGTTAATACTACGAAAAATCCCAAACTGGTACGCCTATGATAATTTTACTCCAAACTAATTTTTTGACCACCAAAAATTCCAAACTGGTACACCTATGACAAATTTACCTTTAGTTTATTTCTGCTAAATTTTCTGTCAAATTGCTTTGTTAAATAACATACGGCAATTGACGGATGTACTAATTTTATGTTTTACCCTCCGTTTGTCACAAGCATACCAGTTTATGATTTTTTGTAGTATTAATTCAATTTAATGAAAACTAACGGAGAGTAAATTTGTCACAAATATACCAGTTCGGGGTTTTTGGTGATCAAAAAATAAATTTAGGGTAAATTTGTCACGGATGTACCAATTTGGAGTTTTTTGTGGTCAAAAAATTAGTTTGGGATAAAATTGTCACATATGTACCAGTTTGGGGTTTTTCGTGGTATTAACCCTAAAAATTTCTCACAACACTCTTACCTATGTCATTTTTATTTATTTATTTATTATTTTTCCCTCTCTTTTTTTATTAATTTCTTTTTCATTTCTTCCCCTTCCATCATTCTCTAATAAAATTTTATTAAATAGTAAACTATACAAATATGCCTAAAATATGTTATAAATATAAATACTAAATGTGTATATATATATATGAAATTTATATCATGAGATAGAAAGAAATTTAAATATATAAATAAAAATAAGAATAAATAAAAACGAATTTATTGTTATTTTTTTGTTATTTTGAATTTTTTATATTAAAATTCAAATATTATTTATATTCGAATATTATTTAATTTTATTAATTTAACAAGTTTGTTATTCGAGAAAAATAACTTTTATATTATGGATATTTGAAATTCTATCCACATTTATCCCACCTCTCCCATGAGATAATTTTATCCGAGCTATATCCCTACTATATCCGACTTTATCCTATCTTGAGTAGGTACCAAATATGAGATATGATAAAATTTATCCTATCCCAAATTTTACTATATCCTATTTACTGTTTAGTGAATTGTAGTAATAAAGCTGAATATTTTTACATATTACTATGTCCATTATTTACTATTAACGTTATATTAGTATAAATGAACCTAAAAATTGCACAAACGGATATGAGAAAAATTTATCATGACACTCACGCCTATTTCATTTTTATTTATTTTTTATTATTTTTCTCTTTCTTTTTTAATTATTTTCTTTTTCATTTCTTCCCCTTCCATCATTCTCTAATAAAATTTTATTAAATAGTAAACTATACAAATATGCCTAAAATATGTAATAAATATAAATACTAAATGTGTATATATATATATATATATATATGAAATTTATATCATAAGATAGAAAGAAATTTGAATATATAAATAAAAATAAGAATAAATAAAAACGAATTTTTTTTTATTTTTTTTGTTAATTTGAATTTTTTATATTAAAATTCAAATACTATTTATATTCGAATAATATTTTAATTTTATTAATTTAACAAGTTTGTTATTTAAGAAAAATAACTTTTATATTATGGATATTAAAAATCCTATCCATCTTTATCCCACCTTTCCTATGGGATAATTTTATCTGAGCTATATCCCTCTTATATCCAACTTTATCCTATCTTGAGCAGACACTAAACACGGGATAGGATAAAATTTATCGTATTCCGAATTTTATCCCGAGTACCAAACGTAGCCTAAGTTCACTAAATTTGAATACAAACAAATATGTCGGGATAAGTACACTATAAGTACCATAATTTTTTTATGGCACTTGAGTACCATCACTTTTCTTTCGATCAAAATAGGTTAAAAATCGTTTACTTCGGTGCCTATTTTGCCGATTCATCTTATGTGACTTTTCAAACTTATTTGATCTCGACGTGGCTTTTTTAACATAAAATTAAAGTTCAATGTGGAAAATTGTCAATCCGACACGACATAAATCTCTCTCTTGTAAGCCGCGAAAACGACACTTAAGATCTCCACAACTAGAATTTATGGAACTGTAATCGAGTAAAAGAGGATTTGCACACTTAATTTAGGATCCTTCGTTCTTGATGCGGAATAGCGACGATTCTGAATACAAGCACTTCTCCTCTATTGCCCTCTATATCATTGGCTTATTGAGACTGCCCCATTCAGTAACTGCTCCTTATGTGAGGTTATTTGTACATCAGGGTTAGAGAAGACACTTGAGCACTATTTATAGAGTTTAAACCACATGCCCTCTCATCATAGGCTGGGCTTTACTCAGCTCGCACTAACCAGGCCCATATTAAACTAATTAAGAATATTTATATCTTACTGTATTAGATAAATCCCATAAAACAATAAATTACAATATCAATTAACGTAGTCCATATTAGAAAAACTCTTACATCTCTAACTTAAGTTATATTAATTGAAATTGTACTTCATATACGCACATTTGTGTTGTTCTAGTGATTATTCTTAACAATCAATACGATCTCATAAAGTTTCAAACACTGAATCATGGCAATGACTGCATGAATACGTACAGAGCATGACATGGTCATAAGTGCTTTTAATTCTATCGATATGGATTCAATGTGATAGTGTGGCAAATTAATAACAATTCATAGGGAGTGATACCTTATGTGTTATCTCATTTATCAGTCCACATTCTCTCTCCTTAAATGTCACGAAACCTGATGTGTCACCGGATAATACCCTTATGGTTCCAATAAACCTCGTTATGGTTCCAATAAACCTACATATGTCTTATTCTTTTAGTTAATTTTACTTTATGTGTACTAAGATATATCCTTAAAGCTAATAACTAAATGCCCTTAGCCTTTACTAAAGGTGTACACAATACCTTAAGATTTTCATCAGATATATGTATTTAATACGATAACAATGCATTCATAAACACTTTCTTGAATACAAATGAGTTGATACATATAAAAATATGTTGCAAAATGCAATAAACATAAATGTAAACATTATTAGAGCAAAATTAAAACAGCTCCCACTAAATAACATCTCATGATGCTCGTAAGTCCATGCTAATAACATGTCATTCAAATATATAAGGGCGAAGACCTTTAGTTCGTGGATTTGCAATCATATCATTTATGGAAATATGCTCTATTGCAATGTCACCATTATTAACTGTTTTCTTTATGGTTAAAAATTTGACTGCCATATGCTTAGACCCTTTAAGACCTTTGTTGTTATTGATAAATAACACTGCAGAGTTATTGTCACAATACAACCATGTGGGCCTATCCACAAAATCAAATATGGTCAACTCCTTAATGAGATTTCGGAGCCAAATACTTGAGTAGCGGCCGTAAATCATGTTACAAACTCTGCTTGCATGGTCGAGGATGATATAGAATTCTGTTTCTCGTTTTTTCATGATATTACAATTCCTGCTAATATAAAGATATACCCTATTGTCGACTTCATATTATCCTGACATTCGGTAAACCTGCATATGAATGTTCTACTAACTGCAAGTCCTCAACATGTTTGTAAATCAATATATAGTCTCTTACCCTCTTTAAGTACCTCAAAACCTTCTTGGCAGCAACCTAGTAATTGTGTCCTGGATTTTACTGATATATGCTCAAAAGTCTAGTTGCAAAAGTAATGTTTGGTCTATTGCAAACTTGAAGATATATGATACATCCTTCATTTGAGCTTTCTCAATATTTGAATGAGGACACTATGACATATTCAGTTGATCACCCTTAATGACATGAGCAATTTCTAGCTTGCAATGTTGTATATAGAATCTTTCTAAAATATGATAAAAAAATACCCTTCGAGACAAACTCAATACGTACCGAGAACGATTCCTATGGATCTCAATGCTAAGCACAAAAGACGCTTCACCAAGGTCTTTCATATCAAAATTCTGCAACAACATCCGCTCTGTCTCATATAGTAATCTCATATCGTTGCTCGTAACAAGATACCGTATCAGACCGAAAAAAAAAAAGGACCAAGATACCGTTTACATAGAGTATGAGAAGAATAAATTTCCTCCCTTTATCTTGTAGTATATACATTGATCCACTTTGTTCTCAACAAAACCGAACGAAGTGACAACATTATAAAACTTCAAATACCATTGTCTAGAAGCTTGCTTGAGGCTATAAGTTAACTTTTTCAGTCTACACATAAGCTTATTTGAATCATCTACTGCAATGCCTTCAGGTTGCATCGTATAGACGTCCTCATCAAAGTCTCCATTCAGAAATACAGTTTTAACATCCATCTAGTGTAACTCTATATTACAATGAGCTACCAGTGCCATGGTCACTCTGTGTCACGCCACGTATCCTACGAGCTTGCAATATCCCGCTTGGTCGTTATATATGCGACTTCCTAGGACTCGTCGCCAACCCAATACAAGCGAACTAAAGAGTAATACATGCGGAAGTAACTCGAACTCTCCGTTCAACATTCAATTAAACGAGATAGTAAAGAGACAAACGAAACATAACAACAAACCACTTT